TTGACCCACAATAAACCAAACACAAACCTAGACATACTTAACCATTCTTGTACCCTGTATCACACTGCCATGTCAGGACTTGCCGGATCACGCATTAGATCTATTGCTTTATTACGTCCTCAATCTCACAGCAATATTGGAGTGGGCAAGGGATTTGAATAACTGCGAGTGAAGGCCAAGTCAAATCGACAAAAGATTCTGCAGACTCCCTGGAGGAAGCTGGAGCCTGTCATTTGCCTCTGGCAAAGACAACACGGTGTGGAAAAGAACATTTTGTTATTGCTGAAGCACACCGAGTGCTGTGCAGCTAGGATACCAATGTTCCAAGGCGCTCTGCCCTCTTGCTTTTGTCATTCCTCATTTTCTTCACATGTACAATTGTAGGGCTGAAATGACTTGTTTGAGCTGCAGAAAAACACCTGAGTTCCTACAAACAGAACATGGAATGGGCCCGTGTTTGTTCTTATTCACGTGCCTACAAAGGAGAAAGGTGGTTATGGTGGGGCGGGAGAGCAAAATGTGCTCTTTCCTCTGTCTGGACCTCCCTTTTTCTCCCTAGTTCAAGCCATTTTGTCTTAGACTGGCCCTAACAACAGACGTGCCAGAGAAAACTACTTAAAGTTGCTGAATGTCGGAGGGAAGAGAGGGCATGTCTCCCTCCCTTTTCTGGGGTAATTCTCACTTTATATATGAATAGGATAGGACTGAATATGGCTGGTATGTCTAGCTTCATTTTGATTCCCGGGTCTTCCTCCAGAGTATTTAGAGGTGCTTGCGCTTGGTTTTCGTAGTTTAGTCCAGTGTTCTTAACCTGGTCAATATCACCCCCCCAGGGAGTGATTTTGTTTTCAGGGGGCGATGGAATGAAAAGGGGCAATGTGGGGGCGAAGGAACAGAAGGGGGCGGTAGGGGGGGCGATGGAGCGAGCCGCTGCCGGCTGGTGAGCTGCCTCCTTTGTTGGTTGGTTCTTTCATTCTTTCCTCTTCGGGCGTTTGATGCGCACTGAGGCTGGCTTCGTGGGATGTGTGCGTCTGTGCGCTCCCAGTCCCTTTCTCACTGTCTCCCTCTAGCTCCCAAACGCCTATTTAAACAGCCACCACCTCCGGTGGCCACGCCACATGGGCTGACAATTTTGCTCCTCGCCGCAGTCCAATGAGAGCCGGAGCTGGGCTTCCCCGGCGCAGAGCTTGGGGCAATGCCAGCCCCCTGGCTCACGAGAGCCTCTCGCGATCGCCGAAGGGAGAAAAGGAGGTAAAGAGTAGCGCCCCGGGAGCACGCGCTGCCCCATACCCCGGGCGCCTGGGCAGCGGTGCCAGGCAGGAATCAGGCGGGGCAGGAGTGGCGCGCATGGCTGGCTGGCTGGCTGGCTGGCTCGCTCGCGGGGTCAAGCAACGCAGGCTCTCTCTCTCTCTCTCGGTGCCCCCCATCCACGATCACTCCCAAGGCCGCCCGTCTGCCCAATTCTCTTCCCCGACGCCCTTCAATCTGACGTGCCCCCGACCCCTGCGGGCGGCAAACGAGACCGGACCTTCCCAGCTCAAGGGAAGAAACCCAAAGTCCAGAAATTGGGGCCAGTCCCACTTTTAGGTCACACTGCCCCCACACCATGAAGAAGCTTCATCTTGGGAAGCTTCCCGTTTACAACTCCCCCATTCTGGATCCCACGGATTACATGGATCAGCTCCTCTTCCTGACCATGTCAGCAAGCGGGGGCCCTTTTCCTCACCCCATTTCTCATTGTCCTCCTCCTGCCGCCTTCAAGCAACAGCGCCCCCCCCACGTTCGTCCTCCTGCAAGGAATTCCGCTTTCCTTCAATATTAAAGTTTGCAGAAAGGGTCAGTACTTCCCTAGACTCCCTTTGTATGAGGACTGAGTGGCACCAAGGTGTCCCTTACTTTATTTTTATCTGAAAACATTTAAAACTGCATCCCAGCCTCTGGAACTCCCTGCCACTTGAGGCCAGGCTGGCCCCATTCATTGCTCTCCTTCCATTACCAGACAAAGACCTTTCTCTTCAGGCAAGCTTTCCCTCAGTAAACCAGCTACCTGTGTGTGATTTTTAGATAGCTTGCTATTCATTACTATTTTGATTGGATTTTTAGTATTGCTGTGGTGCCGCCCCGGCACCGCTGGGAGGGGGGCGATGATAACTTCCTCGATGGCTCAAGGGGGCGATTCTTTCAAAAAGGTTAAGAACCACTGGTTTAGTCCATCAGAGAGTATTTACCCAGCATTGCTGGGTTTCCCTCATGTTCTCTTGGATCAGAGGTTGATACTAATGCTTTGCAAGTAACTGTGTATAATGCATATTTTTGGCATTAACAATATTATAATTTCCATTTCTAAAGGGTAACTAGCAACTTTGTTACTTTTGGCATACTTAATAACATTCATCCATTAATCCTAAAACATGGAAGTCCTGGGGGATTTTGGAACATGTATGTATATTTGAAGTTAAAAAATTGCTAGTCTAGTGTAATGTACCCATTGGCTTAACTGCTGAAGGGTAAGTCAACATTTCTGTAAAAGTCATTGATTAAGTGGGTCCCATTTTAGCTTAGATTAACAATTGGATTTAAGGCTTAGTCAGGATCCAGTCTAATCATATTATAACAGACTACAATGATCTCACCTTTCAGTAGTTTGAACAACTGGTGGGCTCTGAAGGAAGGCAACATCTGACTGCTGATTGTTCTGACCTGGAAAGTTCCATGTTGCCGTCATGGTTAATGAGGGACCAAACCTCCATTAAGATCTAAGCCACTGACTGTTGTCACAACTCAGACAGTAAATTCCATAAATGGCATGTCATATTAAGAACTCTTGGTTTACACTAGCGGTAGGCACGTGGTAGATCTGGATTTGCTGGTAGATCCCTTACTAATTTTCAGTAAGCTGTGTTAAGTATTTCTGACTCTTAATAATAGTGACAACAAAAATGTCTCTTCCCCCAACTGAAATTACAGTGTTGAAGTGATAAATGCTTGCTGTGGGCAGAAAGAGCCAGGATTGATTTTTGCATGAAAGCACTGTGACCTCCATTATTCATACACAAATTCTTCAGCTCTTTGTCTCAAGTAACCTTAAGGTTGTCTGGAAGCTGAAGGCATTAAGACTGGAGTGCCCTACTCCAGGATAAATCACTGAGATCTGTCATCTTTGTTACACAGTTCAGTGAGGTGTAGTGACCCTAGAAGAATGAATGCACCCAGACTGATCCTAGGGAGTTGCTAAGACCATTTTGTTTCTCCTCTCTTCCTGGTGAGACATCACTGGGGGGAGGGAGCAGGAGTGGGGATAGTATTTTGTGTATATTATGGCCAATAGCTGTTCTGGAGCAAAGACAATGCTATGTGAATCCACTGCTCTGTCTGGGGTCACTAACATTTCAGATTCATTTACTAAAGGGTGGTGGCTATATACATATATTAACTTTACGTTACTGTGAGAGGCAATTATTTTTAAAAGTCATCCTTGTATATGTTAGTGTTTTTAAATTAGCAAGTCCGCTCCAGAGTAGGCATCGTCTGACAACTGTATTAGTGCAAAGTCTTGACCTGTCCAAAAAAGAAAAAAAAAGCCATATAGTTCTCTGCTGTGAGCTTAAGCTCGGCATATTCAGGGCTTGTCCATGTTCTAGTTTCATACTGAAAATTGTCACGTGTGTGCAGGGGGGGTCATGCAGATTATAGGCCACATGCACCCCTTCCAATTTAAATCTCCCAATAGTTCCTGAACCCTCCTAAGACTTATTCCGCTGAAGTTCTTCTTTGTTTTAAAAAGGGGGGGGGGTTGAAAATGGCTGTTACTGGAGGGCTTTTGAAGTGACAATACTTTTTTTTAAAGGCACAGCCCCTCCCCCCCCAAGTGGTCTTCTAGCTGCTTTCGGTTTCATATTTGGGTAAGGCAGCCAATGGAGGGCTCACCCCTTAGCATTTGCACTTCCCTGATGGACAATACAGTACAGTAAAGCATAACCACAGTGAAGAGGAAGGCACAAAGGGCCGCACACAGGCTTTGACGTTTTGTCACCCACACTGAACCGCCTCCTGGCCCTTATCCAGCCTGCTATTTCAGCCCCTGGAACCCTCCAAAGGGGGCACAAGCTGCCCAAAGATTTGAAACATTAAACCTGAAATCCACATCTGGCTTTGAAAATTTGGAATATTAAACCAAGGCCTATTTCAAATGGGAATCACCATGAAGCAGCAACTGATTCACATTCTCTCTCTCTCTCTCTCTCTCTC